CCTCTCCCTCGTCGTCCAGCGCGAGCATTTGGGGGGTTTGGTGATACCATCGTTCAGGGACATATAACGCACACTGCGTTCAGTGATGTATAACGTGGTGTTACTGAGGATAATGTCGATTCGGAAATCCGTCGAGTCGAGTATCGTCAGCCGAAAACAAATAAACAAGGTGGGATATTATAACAGGCCTTCCCAGGCGAAGAGGTGACTTAGTTGTAATGTGACCGTGTGGAGTGAACCACTGCTTGCTGTGATGAATACGGAGTCAAACGGAAACTGCTATATAGAGCGAACAACTAAGTGAGGAAGGAAGAGAGTTTCAGAGGAACAGAAGCTTATATACAGGCTGCCAGCAGCACGCACGTGCCGTGCTGCTACACGTGATCTGCCCCCAATTCCTCCAACTCCGTAACACTAGCCTAGACTAGCCCCCTATCCTTAAAGTACTTATAGACTATCTATATATACTAAACTAAATATTCTATATATTAACTAGGGTTACCTTCTAGAGAGAAGAGGGATAATATATAATAGCGCTTTAAAAAACCCGTATATATATAATACTAAGTAATCTCCTAGTAGATAAATAAGAAAAGATAAATAAATTTATTTTTATTATTCTTTAATAATTATTATAAGTTAATTCTAAATACTAAAATACTTAAAATATCTAAAATAATAACCTTTATTCTACTATTATTTTCGATAAATTACTTTAATTATTCTAAATAACTAATATAATATAATAGAATTATTTATACTTAAGTTAGACTATAAGTAAATAGATTCATTCTTTGATAATTAGTATAAGTTAATCCTAAGTTCTAAAATATTTAAAATATTTAAAGTAATGTTCTTTAATTTACTATTATTTTCGATAAATTAAATTAATTATTCTGAATAACTTAATATAATATAATACAATAGTTTATACTTAAATTAAACTAAGATAGATTTATTCTTTAATAATTAGCGTAAGTTAATCCCAAGTCCTAAAATATTCAAAATATCTAAAACAATAACCTCTATTATCCTATAATTTTCTCTAAATCACTTTAATTATTCCAAAAACCTAACATAACACAATAGTTTATACTTAAGTTAGACTACGATAGATTTATTCTTCCCCGATTAGCGTAAATTAATCCCAAGTCCCAAAATATTCAAAACATCTAAAACAACAACCTCTATTATCCTATAATTTTCTCTAAATCACTTTAATTATTCCAAAAACCTAACATAATGTAATAGTCTATACTTAAGTTAGACTACGATAGATTTATTCTTCAACGATCAGCGTAAATTAATCCCAAGTCCTAGATTACTTAAAATATCTAAAACAATAACCTCTATTATCCCATCGTTTTCGATAACTTACTTTAATTATTCCAAATAAATGATATAAGATAATATAATAGTTTTTAGTTATGTTAGGATATAAAAGAGGTCTCTATCACTTTTCTTGTCTACCGGGAGGTAGGCAAGTAAGTAATTAAGCTCTTCACTCTAATTTACAGTATCTACTCTAGGTCAATAGGTAGTTCAAGGCGGGAACTGGGAAAGTGGAGAATCCATTTAATTACCCTAGTCTAGATATGTAAGGAACACCTCATCACTCACTCCAACTTAATCAAGAAAAGAAAAAGAAGAAAGAAGAGCGAAAATGAGAAAACGCCAATACACACACAAAACAAAAAAAGAAAAAATGCTTCTCAATCTTTCCATTCCAATCCCTCGCTTCCTCCCTTTCTTCCCCTCCCAAATATCCATGCAAAAAGAAAAAAACAACAACAACAAAAAACACCCAAACCCTCCTCGCCATAACATTTCATCGTAAGGCATGTCATGTCTTCCAATTGGACTAGAGCTCTATATAGAACATGGGATGGGTACCAAGAGAAAACACCCATATCATATCAGTCGGAGCAAAAAAAACGTGAAAAAGGAAAATGTATATTCGCATTTCTCTCCCAGGAAAGCATCATGCCCCACGACCCAACAGAAAATACTAGTCCGTCTAAGGAAGAAGTAGAAAGAGAAGAAGATTAGGCCTTGGGGACGTTCGGTACATCTGCCGCCACAGCAGCCGCGGCCGCATGGGGATCAGCCTTCTTATCCTTGCCCTTCTTCTTGGTGTCTTTCTCCTTCTTGGCAGCTGCTTCGGCGACGAGTTGTTCAAAAGCCATGTAATCACCCTCTTCCTCTGCATTACGTTGGACCTGTTGCAATATCAGTAAACTATTCCTCGTTAAAGCGAATGGACAGAGAGGGAATACCTTTGCAAAGATCTCTCCAGAAATTACGAGTGCTTGTGCACGCTCTAATCTCTTGGCCATTGGTACTTTCTTGTCATTCAAAAGTTCATCACAAACATCTCGCAAGACGCTTTGAATTTCCAACTTGCTACCTCTCCATGCGGCCGTAAGAATCTTACCAGTAACACGACGCTCGTACTCGACTTTCTTCTCGTCAGTCCAGCCCTCGCCTCCCCTTTCCTCAGCCTTGGCCATTTCCTCCATCGTCATTTGGGCATCGATGGCGCTAGAGATGGTGTTCCAGGTTTCCTTAGCTAGCGTTCCCTTATCCTTTAGTCTCGAAAAAAAGCCGGTGATACCCAGGAATTTTTGCGATTTCAGGAGAGCGGTAGACTTTTGTAAATATACCTGTCCAATAGCATGAAGAATATCCAAACCAAAAGACTCCATCTTCAAATTCTCGACTTCCAAACGGGTCTTTTCTTGGAAAGATTTCGTGACATCAGGTCCTTTGTCGGTTTCTGTCCAAATGCTAATGCGATCGATCAGTTTCTTTGCAAGCGTATCGACTCTTTCTTTTCGAATACGCGCTCGCTCCTTTTCGTATGCCGCCAACTCTTCACGTTGTGCTTTTGACAGTCCACCCTTCTTCTTCTCTTTTCTTCTCAGCTCTTGTTCCTCTTCCGTCAACCCGGCCATTTCTGCAGCAGCGTCTTCCTCTGATTTATCCATAATCGCATGTCGAATCGGGATTCCAGTCCTTCTGGGTGTAGAAGCCCCGGAGGCAGATGGACTAGCACCAGGAGCAGCAGCAGGCTTTTCCGAAGGTACAGATGGAGTTGCCAAATGTTCCTTTTCCTTCGTATCCGACACTGAAGGTGGAGGAGGTACTTTTGACCCCTCACCAGCGGCCTTCTTCTCCTCCTCAGCCAAAGACTCCTTTACTGCCGCCGCCTCACCTGGAAACTCCTCTTCTTCTGCCTGCTCCTGCATAGTAATATCCATCGTCTTGGTAAGATCCTTCATCAGGGAGATCTCTCCGATCAAATCCACGAACGCCTCACCGCCAAAAATGGTCCCGAAGAACTCTGCGGGATCCGCGAACCCCTCAGACGGTTGAGCATGATCCTTTCCATATTTATCGTACTGCTTTCGTAGCTCGGTATCGCTGAGAACTTGGTAGGCTTCGCCGATGGCTTGAAATCTCTCGTGGGCTGTGTCGTCGCCAGGGTTTTTATCTGTTGCGATCGGTCAGCGAGAGGAAAGATACGGTAGGGTCGGTGTAGACCAACCCGGATGAGTTACGATGGCCAGCTTTCGATATGCCTTTTTGATTTCCAACTCGGTAGCGTCTGGCTTGACCCCAAGGGCATCGTAATATACGGTATCGGCGACCATGGCGTTCTTGTTGTGCCGGTCTACCTTGGCGGGATGCTGCAGAGATGGAGGGGTTGAGGTTGAGAATGAGGAGGATCAGATCGACGGAAAGTCGGCACAATAAAGGTGCCTGAGTTTTAAAAAGTCTGGAGTGTCTGGCGTGGTTGTACGGGGTGAAGCCTGGGTCCAAATCTGTAAGGCTGAGCTTTTTTTTCTTCCTTATTTCGCAATCACCTATGGCTATGGGGGAGTCAGAGGATCTGCGTAATGACGAGGGCGAGGCTAATAATTTTTTATACACAATGCACCGCCTGTTGATAGACAGGGGTCGTGCTGGGATTGCGAGGACATTCAACCAACCAATTTTTGCCATGAATCAATATGAGTACTTCTATTGCTGGCTACTTTGAACGCTGATTTAATTCCGTGTTCAAGTATCACTCAGCTATTTATTACCTACCTGGTAATTATTCTTCACAGCATATTATACATTCACAATGATTACTTATTTAAGCATGCTTGCTTATCGCCAACAAAATTCCATGCATTGAATCATCGTAAATCGTCAATTTCATTTTGTTCTCAATCTGTCCCAACATTCCTAAAGAACATGGGGAATTTATGTGCGAGCAAAGATGCTTTTAAAGACAGAAAACAATGGGCCAATCTATTTAACACCAGCAGCGGCCATTCTCTGGAAGCAGCCCTTGTAGGCCTCGTGGATCTCGGGTACGGTGTATCCGTACTCGGCAAGCTTCTTCTCAAGCTTGGTGGTGTCCAACTTGCAGTTGCTTCGTCCAGCAACGATAACCTTGGATTGTTCCTCCAAGGTGAAGTTCTTCCAGGTAAAGTCTGGGCGGACGTACTCCTTGAAGAGAGCAAGGACCTCGTTGTGGGAGATGGCACCTGGGTTGGTGAAGTTGTAGATTCCAGTATCCTTGTGCTCAGCAAGAAGGATGGAAGCTGGGAGGAGATCGGTAAGGATGGTATTGGAGTTTGGAATATCAACGACACGGTCGTACTTGGCAATCTTGGTGACGAAGTTACGGGAGTGGAGGTCGTCACTGACTGGCATACGAAGTCTGAGGATGAGGCAGTTGGAGTAGTTCTTCATGACCTTGGGATTTGTTAGCAATTACATCCCATAAACAAGTGATTAGAAATCTCACCTCCTCAACGTGTGCCTTGGTCTCGGAGTAGAAAGAACCCGCAAAGTTGGCCTTGTCAGTCTCGAGGAAACCAGGTCCACCGATTGGGTGTGAATCGTTGTAGGCGTAAATGCAACCAGTTGCAAAGACGGTAATGTGAATTCCTCTCTCGTAGCAGACATCGGTCAAGTTCAAGGTACCGATAACGTTATTCCTGATGGTCTCCTCTCTGTGGTCCTCACACCAATCGACATTTGGGCGTCCAGTTGACCCCGCAGCGTTGAGAACGTGAGTTGGCTTGACTCTCTCGATTTCGGCAATGACAGCCTCTCGGTTTTGCATACGGATGGTGGTGGAGTGAACTTCCTTTCCTGTTGCGTAGATATATTAGCTTCAAGTCGTAGGTAATGGTACGAGACTTCATTCGGGAGGATAGTGGCATGCTTACCTTGCTTCTCGAGGAGAGCCTTCAAGTGGCCGGCAACCCAGCCCTCACCACCCCAGATCAAGAAAACTGGCTTAGACATATTGATTGAGTACTTGGTATGTGATGTGTTTGGTGGAGTTCTTTGGGGGAATATGGTGTAGAGGGGAAAGGACAGCGGGCTGTGAAGAATTTATGGAGAATCGCGGTGAGAGTGATCCTTCAGGGTATGGTGGGGAATCTGGACCGGGATTTGTGTTGTTCAAGGCTGCGAGCCTACCACATTCAGGGGCAAAGAGGGGTGATCGGGTCGGCGACTGGGCGACTGGGCCAATGGGGGAGATGTGTTTCAATAAACGCCACACCTGCACCCTCGTCGGCGCATAAATGGAAATGGTGAGTGGTACTCAAGTAAAACATTTCAAAGCAAACGATAGTGTTCTGCTTTGTATTAAGTAATCAGGAAATACTGAAACGACGACCTCGGGAGTATTCGAAAGTATTGAATTGAACAAGAGGAGAACATGGGCTAGCTGACTGTATGCAACCAAAAGAACCTTTATCAAAGTTTATTAAATAGAAAAGAAAGGTAAGTAAAGGGGCTCCCGGTGGACAAGAAAAGTGGCAGAGGTTCATTTTTTTACTATTAGCGTAAGTTAATTCTAAGTACTAACATGTTTAAAGTATCTAGAACAATTGCCTTTATTGTGCTATCGTTTTCGATGAATCACTTTGATTATTCTAGATAAATAATATAATATAATGGTTTTTAGTTAAGTTAGGATAAGATAAAAGAGGTCTCTGCCACTTTTCTTATCTACTGGGAGAGGGTTTAAGAGGTCTTCTACTACTGCGAATGTAATATTGGCAGAGGAAGATCCAAATACCGAGTACTATACTCCAAGTACAAATATCATGGTTGCTCTTAGGTACTTACTGTTACCAGAAAAGTAGAGTTCATCCATTGATAGTCAATAGCACTGTATCTGGGGGGAATCCGGTAGACTTATACTGATAATCTGATACTATGTCGTGTAACAAGTTCCAAGGTTGTTTCTGAAAATTTGTTGGTTCTAATAATAATTGTCACCACGAGATTACTTCTATGCCCTCTTGACATCATCCACGGAATCCTGCCACTTGTATTACACTTTTTCGGAAACATTTCCACCATTTCAGGTGCAACTTGCACCAGCTTTGATTTCTTCTTCGGAGAAAAAGAAAATCTCTGTACGTCCCTGTGTTTTTGAAGCTATTCAGATCGACACCTCCCAAGCCAGCCAAATTTAACTCGATAAGGCCGGGTGGCAGTCCTCGCAGGCTCACCTGAGGTTCGTAGCTCCCGTCTCGTATCTATTTCCACAGGCAGACAGCATTTTCGCTCAAACCCAATCATGGCTCTCAAACGTCGGCCCGCCACAGCTGATTACCAGCGGATCTCAGGGGCCCCGGTGATGATGAGGTTTACGAAAAAATTTAGTATTGCTTGGCTTGGCTCGCGGTGGCAGTGGCACAGCTCTGATTGCGAGCTGCGAGCAAATGCCACATAAAGGCTGAGCTGGGACGTCAACGGGCTGGGCTGACTGACTACCTACTGACATCCACGCCATCCCAGCGCCATCACCAACATTCTGACTTTGCCATTCCTTATCTTTTCTATCTGTCTTTTGTATCTCTACTTCACCCAAACCCTCCCTTTCTCAACTCGCACCATTTGCGAAACAAACTTCTTGAACCCTAATATCTCCAAACCACATTCCTTACCTCCAATCCTCCGTTCATAGAGTCAAAGACCCACGCATCTGCGCTCCAAGCCTCTTCCCCCAGCACAGCCGTGTCTTCCGAACACGTTTTCCATTCTGTAATTTAACATCATCTGGGGAAGTCGAACACATAAAGGACCAAAAACAGAAGAGCATTACCATTGAAACCCATTGCTCGACTTGATTGCAACAAGAATCCGGAATTCCTTGCATGGTCCTCGTCCAAACAATCCCAACATCCCAACACCCCAACACCCCAACATAGAAACTCCGAACCCGAAAATCCCTGAAATCATCACATGATGGGGAGCGATATGGAACGGGAGCGTGACATCGAAGCCGCGCCAGAAGAGAAACTGCTTGAAGCAGAATCAGAACCAATACCCGCAAATATACCCTCGAAACCGTCTTCCGATGCGAAGAAGAAGTTCCTACTATGGACCGCCATCAACATGGCCGCCACCATCGGCATCGTCTTCACGAACAAGGCCATTTTTACTGATCCCGACTTTAAAATGATGCAGACCTCGTTTGCCTCATTTCATTTCGTCTGCACTGGATTGACGCTTTATGTGGTCTCCAGACCATTCTTTGGGGCCTTTGAACCGAAGAGCGCTGGGGTTGTAGAGATGTTACCGGTATGTAAAAAGCACATGACTTACCTCCTCCAAAAATCAATATAAACATTGATATTTCTCAAAAACACCAACAAAAAACCCCGTAAATATCCAGAAAGACTACAGGCTAACAAAACAAAAAGCTCGCTTTCTCAATGTGTCTCAACGTGGTCCTCCCCAACCTCTCTCTCGCCTTCTCAACCGTCACAGTCTACCAGCTCTGTCGTGTTCTCCTCACCCCCATGACCGCAATCATCAACTACGTCTTCTACCGGGCCACCATCCCACGCAACGCAGCTCTAGCATTGATCCCCGTCTGCTTAGGCGTAGGAATAACCTCCTACTACGACACCAAACCCGTCGAAAACGTGGACCCCAGCAAACCCGTCCCAACGACGTCCATCATAGGCGTCATCTTCGCCCTCTCAGGTGTCTGTGCTTCCTCGGCCTACACCGTCCTAATCGGTGCTTACCACAAGAAGCTCAACATGACCTCTTCGCAATTATTGTTTAACCAAGCCCCTATCTCATCTGTCATGTTACTCTTCGCTGTCCCCTTCGCGGACCACATTCCTGTTCTCTCAAACGTGCCTTCATACCGATGGCTCATGATCCTCATGTCCGGTGGATTCGCCGCACTGATCAACATCAGTCAGTTCTACATCGTCGCGGGCAGTGGACCCGTGAGCAGTACCGTGGTCGGCCATTTGAAAACGGTTAGTATCGTGGGCATTGGATGGGCGTTGAGTGGAAGGGGGATTACGGATTGGAGCGCGATTGGGATTTTGATGACGATTGGTGGGATTGTTTAGTAAGTCTTCCATTTCCCATCCCTTTCTCCTCCTCCCTCTTCATCAAACACCAACTAACCAAACCCCAGCTATTCAAACGTAATGCTCAACAAACCCCGTTAACCCCATCTCCCACGCATCTCTGTGGTTTGAACGCAGACGGATTAGATGTTTACCATGTATTTGACCGATTCAAAGATTTCCTTGTTCTACTCATCTATTCTTTTTCTTCTTGGATAGGCGAAGGTCGGTTTACTACTTATTGTAAGAATTTGGTTTTGGGTTAAATGTAAAGATAGACCTTTCCTTACTCATTTTACTTTTATCTGTGTTCAATTCTTTTTTTTCTTTTTCCCTTTTGTTTAAGATGGTGGGCATCGAAGTAGTTATGTAAGGAGTAGGAGTATACCCCCAAAGATAAAAGATAAATAAATAGGCCACGGCGAAAAAGAGAACCCATTTTCAACGGGTTTTGAATTGAAGAGTTGGATGGATTTTCCTTTTGTAAATTAATCAGGTAATATACCTACCCATTACTTATATACCTACCTGTCGCTATAATATCCGAGTGAATATACTCGGTGGCACGGACCACCTGACCAGGCTGGTCCTGCCTATATTATCGCGGTACGACTTCCACACCTTTGACTCGGTGTGCATCAACAATAGGAACAGTCTAATACTAAGGTTTGATCAGTGTTGGTTTGACTTTATTGTCAAATATGAGGTGCAATACAGGAAGAGGCTAAACCTTAGTATTAGACTATTCCTATAGTTGATGCACTTCGATACCGAGCAAAGGTAGTAGGCTAGGGCACCACTATTATATAGTAGTGCCAAGCCCTACCCCTGTACGGTCGAGTGTAGCTACCTAATCGAGTGTAGTTGCCTGATCGGGTATAGCATATAATCGAGTGAATATACCCGATTATATTTTACCGACACTACCTCTCTTACCCCTTACAAAATATCCCTATCCTAAAGCTATTATATAACTAACATAGTTATATAATAATATAGTAGTAAAGAATTTGGAATAATTACTAACTACTTACCTTTTATTAGTCTAGGTAAACTAATATACCGATATAATTATCTTACTTATACGAGTACTAGATAGTTTGTATAATTAAGACCTTTTTATAATATATATAGTATTAAGTAACGAATAGGTATTTTATTATAGTTAGTAAAATATATTTTATTTAATTCCTACTAATCTACTAATATAATTCTACCTCTAGTACAAGTATATAAGATTAGCGAGTATCTATTACTTTATACACGCTATTAAAAGGTATCATATTAAACCTCTAGTATAAGTAACTTAATTATCTTATTTTAGCTACCTAGTATAATAAGGATTAAAAAGTAATAATTGTTTTAATTTGTTAGTAATATAGTATAATTAATTTAGTTATATAAGATCATTAGAATAATAGTTTTATAACTTAGGTATATAGAGAGTAGGTAATACTCGCCTCTTTTCTTATATAATATCTAGTACTTCGTAAACTCGATACTATATATATTAGGAATCGATTAAATAGTACCTGATAGTTAGTACGCCTTCCTATTACGCTCGTCGCTTATAGTTAGCGGAAGTAAGTATAACGCGGAAGTAAGTATAACGCGGAAGTGAGTATAACGTAAAAGGTTAGGGTTATAATATTATAGTTGTTTTTAGATATATAAGCTTCTATATAAGCTCAAAAGAAAGCCCTTTATTAGCTTAATAATATATTAAAGTATAAGCTAGATATGTGACGGTTATGGTCACGAGGGCTGGATGTCACATGATCGCTTAGCGAGGCGCTAGCGCGCACGACCTGTATTTAGTTCCCAGCTCTCTCGAGCTCTCCTTCTTTCCTCGTCTTTTGTCCTAAGAATAGAGTGTTAATTGTTCTGAGTTCTACCTGAAGCACGTCTGTCACAAGATACGACTATAGTGTACTATAATATAATAGATTATAAAGGAAAGTACTCGAGGATATACTCAGGTATATGTCTGTAACGAATACTCAAACTGGCTAACTAAACTTGGCTGGGTGTTCGCTGGTTGGTATGCTATGATAAGAAGAAGACTATCGGGTTGTTCACTTGGAAGTGAACTCGTTACTTGTATCAAAGATGTCAAACTAATATGATAAGATTGATAACTAAGTTGAGCACGAAGCTCCTATCTAATGGCAGACGTGCCAGTCTTATATAGAACCTTCGTCCTCATAGAATAGCTGTAGGAGTACGTATACAAAAAGTTATAATATATACGTACCCTCCTAAAGTTAATTAAGTATAGGAATATAAAATCTTGTTCGTATCTTATATAATTTATATTAAAAAACGTACCCTTTTTATATAGGATAATAATTAATTATACCTATAAGTCTATATAGTTTATATGTCTTTCCGAAAGGTGCATAGGGCGCTATATCGTAGTTAAGAGCGATATACGTGTGCTAAACGTTGCACTTGCTTCCGCGTTACACTTGCTTCCGCTGACTACAAGCGACTGAGCGCAGCAGGAAGACGCACTGACTATTAGCTTATAGAGGCCCGTACTATCTCTAATATAAAAAGGGAGCTACTTAGTTATATATATACTATAAAATAGCCAAAAAAATCATATTCTACTAACCCTATAGTAGTGGAGAAGGAGTAGAACGTCTTATAGTGGCCTGTGCATAGGCTTATACATGCATAAGTTATGCGTGCATGAGTACCATTTAATCGATTCCATATAGCGTTTAGTCATGATAAATAGATTTTGAATCGAAGTATGCTGGAATCATAGGAGCTTGGGATGGTAAGAGGAGAACGTCGCACATGTTAATGTCATGAGGTACCTAGTGACCTAGGTAGGTAAGAATTGCAGACTGCCCGTGTTATGTGCCAGCCAGATAGACGGCTGGAGTATATCTTCTCTAGGAAGGAACTCTCGCGGTACTGTAGCGAATCTTCGACATGATAATTCCTTTTTGCTCCATAGGAAGGGAGTAGAATGTCTTGAGAGGACGGGCCTATCGCTTTCCAAGAAACTTTAGGTATTTGATTGAGGTAGGTAGGGGTGTGTGCACGTGGATACGTAAAAGAATCACCTGAAATCACTCTCTTCAAGGAAACGGTTACAAGCCGTAACCTCTGAGTGATTTTCTCAGCTCAAGATCTAAATGTCAGGCAGACTAGAAATTTGTTAGGAGTGTAGGATTGGTATTGAAGACCTGGAAACTCATGTTAGTCTTGGTGGAGTGAACTTTGGTGGGTATTCCGTCCTAGTAGGATAGAATTTTTAAGGAGTAGATATTCTACCTTTAATAGAATTGAGTTTCTGTTCATCTCCTTCACAGTCAAGGGGTTGAAGTTGGATATAGGAATTCGTTGAAGGTTCCAAGGAGTGGAGAATCTTTCGGTTAATAAGATACAGAATCAGAAATAGATCTCATAAGCTTGTTCCTCGCTAACAAAATATTCATTCCTCATTATTACCCCATCTATTCTAATCTATTTATTAGACAACTGGGAATATACCGTCGCACCACCAAGCGCCAAAACAATACCCAAAGCATCCGTCGCTGTCAAAATCCGACCTTCACTAAACCAGCCATAAGTGAGGATTATTATGGTTTTGACACTGGAGGCTTGTTAGTTTATGTCTTGGATATTTGGGATGGGAGAGAGGGGGAAGAATACGAACTTGGACGCTACACCATATGTAAGTGCACTCATTCTTCCGATGATGAGAAATTGTGATAGGTTCTGAATATGGTTAGTTGCGAGTTGCGAGGAGGGGAGATGTTAAACTTACTAAAGAAGCAGCCGCAAGACCAGATAATAATAGTGCAATTAGGGTATCTCTAGAAATACGTGATACATCCGGCATCGTATCGAAAAATGGGACTAAGAAAGCCAAGAGAAGAACAGATATCGGTGCTTGATTAAGGAGAAGCTGAGAACTGGAGACATTAAAATCCCTCATCTTTTTATCAATCCAGACTTGATAGAATGCTGTGACGGTAAAAGCAGCCACTGCTATAGAAGCACCGACTGCTGAAGTACCTGCCGCCCCGCTGTTTGTGAGCCCAACCCCTATGCATACACTCGCTAAGGTGCCCATGGTGAGAAGAGTGATGGACTTCCTGAGGAAGAAATATTGGAGTAGAGCTACGGATGGGGTAGTCATGATTTTGGCGAGTCTAAGAATATAATTGTAAGCTTGTGGTTACATACAGCATGACGTATACATACTGGTAGAAACCGATTGAGTTAAGTGCCAAACTGAGATTGCCCAAAATCAAGAATCCCGCAAAGAAACCGCAGAGTGGAATCATCTGAAAGAACGGTAGTCGAACAGGTACGAATAAGCTGAAGGGTGATCGACTTGCTATCCATAAAACAATCGTGGTACATGTAAAGTGCCACATGGCAAACGATATTTGCAGCTTCCTCAATTGCTTGTCTTGAAGAATCCTGTGGAGCATTAGTATTGATTCTTCCACCATAATTGCATGAATACCGCAGACGTACCATTTATTGAGAAAGACCAGAGTAACGGTACTTATGATATTCAAGCCTATACAAGCCACATCGATGACGCGTTTCCGCAACTGCTGTTTCCCTCCCATTATCTTTTCCACAATCCCATCCTCGTTCTTTTTATTGTTGCTCAACAATCCCATTCTACTCTCCTCGAGATCTGCCTCGGCCGACTCATATTTGGGCATGACCAAGGGTTTTGGGAGTGTGTTTGAGGTTTCGATGAATTGGAGGGGTCGAGGCTGGTGAACGAAGGGAGGAGTGAGAGTCGGGGATTTCGACAGGAAATCACGTCGTGGAAGCTATTGCTATTGCATATTTTCTAGTGAGTTTGGGACTTGAGGGTAGAGTGCAGATACTCAATCCGGTATTGGTTTGTCGGTATATTTGAGACGTAGAAGAAGTGAGGTGAAGCCATGTATGTTAACTCGCTTTGATGTTTTGGACTGGATGGCACGCGAGGCTGACACTGATACTGATACCGACACGGGGCTGACACTTTCCTTACCGCCTCGCAACTATGTGGTTCGCTGTGATTGGCTACCCCACATCGGCTGCACGGAGATAACGAAAATCCCTTTTTTGCGGGTCCACTGGGCCAGCGAAAGAGAAAGGGGGAAGGGGAAGGGGCAGGGGGATTGGAAGTGCCGTTGCCGTGCAGAGCTGTCCACTCGTTGCCAGCAATGAATGCCCTGCAATGCAATGAGATTAATAAGTATAAGAGGATAAATAGTCGTACATTATCCTTCCATCTCACTCCTGCAAGAATTGGTGATTTTTTTCTTGCGTACGGCATCCGTATCTCTCTCCTCCATACAATTACCTACTTAATTACGATCAGGTTGTGCTCTGTACTACCTCTGGTCGTCTGTGCCTTCCCCATTTGCAGAAGTCAATCGGCAAATCTCATTGGTGGATCACCCTTCGCCTGCACCCGCAATAAATAATACTTGTACGGAGTACACACTCGCATACCTGTACCAACTCAAGCTTTTCCAGTCGCAACCTCTCTCTGCTCTATTCGAGTCCGACACCAACAATCCTCCCTCATCCGACCCTCCATTCGCCATCATGGGTCTTCTCAAGCAGCTCCTCTACTTCTCCGTTCACCCAAACCAGTTGCGCTCCGTCATTCAATGGTAAGGCTCGAGGCTTCGCATCCACCACACAATCCAACCTTCCTTTCTGACCTCCTCATAGGAAAGTCTGGCATGATCCTGTCCACCAGCGAAACCCCGCGAAGGAGTCTGCGACACTCAAAGAATGTTTCCATTACCTCAACTTGACCAGTCGAAGTTTCAGTTCCGTCATTCAAGAGCTCAACCCAGAACTACTCGTCCCAGTCGCACTTTTCTACCTGATCCTGCGAGGACTTGATACAATCGAAGATGATATGACGATATCTCTAAAGAAGAAGGAGCCTCTGTTAAGAAATTTTCAACATATTCTCGAGCAACCTGGATGGACATTCACCGAAAATGGACCAAACGAGAAGGATCGGGATCTGCTTGTCCATTTCGATTGTGTCATCACAGAGTTCATGCTGTTGAAGAAGGAATATAGAGTCATTATAGCCGACATCACTGAGAAGATGGGAAATGGTATGGCCGACTACGCAAACAATGCAGAGTTTAATGAAGTTGGAGTCGACACAATCAAAGACTACGAATTATACTGCCATTATGTCGCCGGACTTGTAGGAGAAGGTTTGACGAAATTATTCGTAGAAGGCCAGCTTGCGAATCCAGCGCTCATGAAAAGACCGGAATTATACGAGGCCATGGGTCAATTCTTACAAAAGACAAATATCATCCGTGATATCAAGGAGGATCTTGATGATGGCAGACGCTTTTGGCCAAAGGAGATTTGGTCAAAGCATGTCGACAAGTTCGAGGACTTGTTCGTGCCACAGAATCTCGAGAAAGCATTAAATTGCAGTTCCGAAATGGTCCTCAACTCTCTACGCCATGGTGAAGAATGCCTGTTCTACATGGCAGGCATCAAAGATCAATCTGTTTTCAACTTTGTTGCAATTCCTCAGTCAATGGCTATCGCGACACTCGAGCTTGTTTTCCAGAATCCAGCCGTCTTCAAGAGGAACATCAAAATCACAAAAGGAGATGCTTGTCAATTGATGATGGAGTCGTCACAAAATCTACGAACAGTCTGCGAAATTTTCAAGAGATATACTCGACGTATACACGCCAAGAACAATCCCAAAGATCCAAATTTCTTACAAATCAGTATCGCATGTGGTAAAGTGAGTTCATCCTTCCTATTGAAGGGTCAAAAAATCTTGCTAATACTTTTAGATTGAACAATTCATCGAATCAATCTATCCATCACAAGATCCAAAAGCTCTGCATCTACTTCATAAATCTGCTGATTCTGCCACTGTCGCGGAAAGCGAAAAGAACAAGCTTAGCCAGAAGGAATCTGCAACTGATACCCTCTATCTTTTACTTGCGGTTGTCGGTACTCTCCTGGTCATTTCAGGACTTATGGTATGTCTATCTCTTCAAGTTATATAAGAAAAACTACTAACATTTCCAAGATCGGTGCTGCATATTTGGCTGGTGCTAATTTCGACCTCGCATTCACCGAACTACGAAAAGGCAACTTCATCCCCAAAGGAACTTACTCCACCATTCCTCAACAGGATCATGGAGAGCTGTAAATATCTAGCGCGGACTTTCTTGTCTCTTCTTCTTCTTCTTTTTTTCATGACCTAAAAATTACACGTAATAATTACTGGATTTCTTCTTTTTGCCGAGGGGGCCTTTCTCTCTGCGGGCTTACGAAGCGATGATCTTGTACATTAAATCTCTCGAGGCGAAGATAACTAGGTGGGATACACGATAAGCTGCTCAAGTATCATGCATGCATATGGGATGAGAGGCATGTGTATGTATATAATGCGTTCATGTGCCCATGGCTTCATGGCTTGATGGGTGGATGAATGGATGGACGGGGGAATCTTAAAAGTAATGGTCCACTTTCTATTCTTAAAAAGTAATTTTGGTGATGAAATTTTGCTTGCTTGCTTGTTTTTTGCTTAGGTTCGACTACTTCTTCTTCACAGGTTGAAGTGCGCTACTGTAACGGGCTAGCTGAATTGGGGATGTTGGAGATGTAAAGAAGGGTGGATTGCTTTGTAATACAGTAGCTTCTTGCACAATGCAGTGGTGCTATCAAGATCTGAGTAAGATTACGTCCTATCTGTGTAGGTAGGTAGAGTAGGTACCTAGAAGTGAGAAAAAATGTTGGGTCCTGGGGTAGGGAAGGGAAAGCTGGTCTGGTTGTAAACAATGAGAAACTAATTGTATTATAAAATAGTGGGCTGCATCATGTCGTGATGCCGGTGCTAAATGAGGAACTGGACAAATTTAGGACGAATGAGTTAGAGCTATACTATATAGAGTGGACTACTTTTCCAGAACGACCAAGAGCTAGAAGGCAATGTTAGAAGCAAGAAGAAGAATTTGTTTTACCTATATACCTTTTGGTTGCAACAAATTGATAAGGATGTCACAAAAGTTCAGGGATCAACAATCCTAGGGATTTAGGTGATTATTGACTCCCACTTCCCCCTTCCACGTTTCCGATGGAACGCACCTACGAACATTTAATCTTGAGGATGAAGAATGAAAGAGCGTTATCGGAAGATATGCGCTCCGTAAAGGCTGGCCCGACACTGAGATGAGAATGGCTGTTCCCCGTTTGACCGTTTTTGGTTCTGGCCCAAGCTCCATATTCAACATTCCAAATGTCACCGGTCGTTGCTTCTTTCATACACCTAATTGGCCTGATCCTGAATAATACCCAATCTCCTATCCACAGAAAATTTCTACCACATTTCGCAACCAAAATCCACCAAGAGTAAATGAACCTCCCGAACCTGACAGTTTACACGCATCAGTTCCCCTCTGCACGACCTGATTCACGAATCACGCATTACCTTTGTAGGTCTAAATAAGCATATCCTGAGCATCTCACACCGAACCCAGGATTAGCTAATGTAGTTGGGTACCGTACTACCGCTGTAGACGCGACATATCCGCGTAAAGCATGGTAACTTTAAAAATCCCTGCCCCTATTCCGGGGATTTCCTATAGGCCAAACCTTCTCACCCAAATAAGGATTGAACGGAGGGCCTTAGATATTATCTTTTGGGGGGGGATAGCGTTGAAGATGCTTGGACGAACTGTGAAGCGAGGCAGAGTTTTGGGGAGAGTGAATTGCTCGCTTCGTTATTAATCAACATGCCAGGTCCTCACGATATGTTGACAGCTCTGTCAATGACTGCGTCAATCCGGATACCGTACCACGACCTGACCGAGCAGGTGAGCATCAATTCACTGCACTTTTGGCTCAGTAGCGATGCGCATTGTTTGTATTCTCTAAGCTAATAAGCTAGCGACTATTTATGCTAGCGTAGGAGCACACTGGTCCCAAAGGAGCGGAGCTAGCTGGCTTACGCGATGCGCAGTCATGTGTCTGGTATATTAAACCAGGGAGGAAGGGTTCCGGGTAACAATTCCATTCAAAATAGGTACTTACGCGAGTCCTATTATCAACACCCTCTTTGATCTGCGCATGAATCCTGCGCTGCATCTCATTCATTTTCTTCTGATGTTCTCGTTGTAGCTCAAGCATCTGTAAGAGAGTTTCCTCGGATTCCGATGGGAGGTTTTTGCGGTCTGGTATGGTTCTTAGTTGTAATCTCGTGGTGCTAAGTGCGTTTCCTTGGACTCTTGCGATTTGACGAACAATCTCCGTTGTTGAAAGTGGGACTGGTTGTTTAGAAAAGCGAATAGCGAGCTGTTAAGGCGTCAGCTTAGACCGTTTTGCTGGAATTGTGAGGACAATGAGAGAAGCTTGTCGTATAGTAAGCTAGCAGTATATACCTCTTTTTTCAATTCCTCGATAACTCTCTTAGATTTTCCTTCGAGTGTTCGATATTCGGTGTTGGAAGGACAGAGATTATCGCCTTTCGAGACGACCTTAATATCAAAATTTTCAATATTATCCAACATCCCAAAGTAATACAAGAACCCATTTTCATCACTCTGGATAATTCCATCTGAGGGCAGTCTCTTCGAGGTGTCCTTGTCTTCTTCAAGTGGATACCCCCAGTCCAACCCTTTTTCGTCCACATCGAGGATAATCTCCAAATGCTTCAAGAATGTTACACCTGAAAGCAATTTCGTGAGGATTGCAAACAGGTGACTCGCCTCGGCGAAATCACAAATTGTGTAGATGCCGGATTCAGGTATAGCGTATTATTCTTCCCAATATTCCCATAAGTCTTCCAAAGTAATGGTTATAGAGAATTTTTGAAATTGAGTAAAGATATGGGGTTGCAAAGGTCCTAACCATGAGCCCATCCAGTATTTCGAGCGCTCGCTTTCGTAGGGGTTTTTTCCAGGTTTCCTGGGTTGGTTGCGTTCCCCAGAAGCCACCCAGACCATGGGATCGCATGTCCAGATATGATCCCAGGTTTGGTGGGATTCATCTTTGGTGATTCGCGGCGGGGTTCGGTTTGTTATGTCGCTTGGGTAGTACATATTTTCATGATTCCACTCGTTGGGGACTAGATCCTTGAGATCCATCACCCCAAAATGGATTGTAACATTGGAGAAGATAACCGATGATGCTTCGTTGTAGATTTGGGAATTCACAGCTAGGATTTTAAGTTTGAATTTGGGATCTCCAAGTTTCAATTGGGAATACTTGGGACTTTCGTCGTTTAGGCTGTAAAGATTCAGATGTTTGCTACAAGCGACGAGGTAGCTATATATTTTCATACGGATCTCTGATTGAAATTAGCCAATATTACAACGGTAATGATGGTGACGAGATTTGAGGGGAGTGGTTGGGCATGCCTCCAAGGGGCTCAGGGGATGAATGAAAACGCCATTAGGAGTACTAGAATCTGTGCAAGAGTTCTCTATAAGAATTTGTATCGATAGCTTTCATAGCGGCGAAGCCAGCCATATGCGCTATACTGATCCGTCTGATTCTCAGCACCGGGGCAAGGAAACAGTTCTTACCTAGAGGCATCTTCAAGAACCAACATGTTCGATCAACGCCCACGATCTCATCATTTCGGCCCTCCATCTCAAACATATTGTCAGGTACGCGCTGCTCATCACACTTAAAGCAATGTGTTGTCGTGTCGTGTTGTCGTGAGAACTTGAGTGGGTGCAATCAGGGGCCAGATTTGAGGGTTGGGTAGAGGTCGGGCCAACGACCTCGGAAGGCGGTGAAACTTGATCGACATATTGTAAGAAGAAAAATAATCCCCATTTCTTCTTTCTACATCTCGGTTCTATTAATGTTCTCATAAGACGCCATTGCTTCATGATGGCTTTTAATTTACAAGGAAAATTCAATGCCTAATTCACGACCATGGTAGTACACTTCGATAAGAGAGGCGGGCATTACTCTGTAATCTTATACCCCTGAGTTATAAAAATATTATCCTAAAGACGTTATATAACTAAATCAATTATACAAATAGTTTAGAATAATTGATACTTTTCACTCCTTGTTAATCTAGGTAAAACAGGACAATTAACTAAATTATACTGGACTTTTAGGATAATAATATTTAATAGCGTGTATAGAGTAATGACTAGGTTTCTTACTTCTATATTCTTATAGTATAGGAAGTTGCCGAAAATCCTAATTTTTTTTCCAAATCCCCCTCAACGTTTATTGATTATTTGTGTCGCTATAACTTAGCAAATGGCACTTAAAGATGACTATAAGTTATATGAGTTAGTATTAAACCTATAAGATTGTTCCTTTAGGACCGGCGTACTACGATACTTATAAGTATATATATACTTAGCTAGCTACTTACTTCTAATAGCGAGTCTGACTCATTAGTGTCACGGATGCCAACAAAGGATAAAGTGTATACAGCTTTTGAATCAATTGCTAGAACTAAAACCGTAGGTACGAAGAAATCAAACTAAAGAGAGAAGAGAATCTGAAAGGAGCGAAGTTATTTAAGTTGTTCCAATGCCAAGTCTCGTCACGTGCTTGGCCAAGCGAATGAAATCCTGTCAAATGAAATCCAGCTCCGTCACAATTAGAGTCTAACTCATTAGAGTCTAACTCATTAGAGTCTAACTCATTAGAGTCTAACTCATTAGAGTCTAACTCATTAGAGTCAAATGAATCAAGTCAATAATTTCTTTGAGGTTTCTAATTCACATTATCATCCAATTATAGCTAAAGTCATTCATGAGCCCTCCTCACTTATATCTCAACTGAATATGAGTCTATGGTCACGTGTTTCACTGCCACTTGACCCTCTCATCCATCTCCACCTGGGCACCATACCTACCTCCCGATGGACAAGAAAAGTGGCAGAGATTTATCTTTTACCTATTAGCGTAAGTTGATTCTAAGTACTAAAATGTTTGAAATATCTAGAACAATCATCTTTATTATGCCATCGTTTTCGATAAATCACTTTAATCATTCTAATTAAATAATATAACATAATAGTTTTTATTTAGGTCAGGACATGATAAAAGAGGTTTCTGCCACTTTTCTTGTCCACCGGGAGCTACCTATACGGCAGAGTGTTCACTCACCTCATCCAAGCCACGCTGGGCATCTTCACCTGCCGTCTTAGCATACTCTATACGGGCAATCTCTTCAAAATCATCCCAAAGCTGGCCCGATAACCCATCCATCCTATTTTGATGGGCCTTCTGAAGCTCGAGCATTTCCACTAGAATTCCTTCCAATCGGGGTGTGACATTTTTATCGTTGATTGTCTGAAATTGATACTTTTGACAATGAAGACTCCGACCTCTTGCTTCTACAAGTTGGCGAGTAATCTCCATCTTCGATAGGGGGATCGGACGATTAGATACTCGAGCAGCGAGCTGGAATTATGACATGAAGTTAGTCTTCGACAATCTGGCATTCTCGAAATGGATAGGCATACCTCTTCTTTCAATTCCTCTATCACCTTCCCAGAGATCTTGCCCGGCGTTCGAAGACCACCGAAATGCAAAATCTTGACCTCGAAAGCCTGTACAATTTTTAATTTCCCTAGCGAAAACCGGAATCCGTTCGGACGACTTTGTATAATCTCATCCGAGGGAAGCTGCTCCCTTTCCATACATACCCTGTAATCGGGAGGATGAATGTCTCGCATGTTCCATTCGGTGATGTCGCCATCGACGTCAAGGACAATTTCCAAACACTTCAAGACCAGCACCCCAGACAGCAGCGTAGTCAACACAGTCATCAAACGACTCTCCTCGAAATATTTTTTGAGGTGCTTCATATCCCGTGTCGGTAAAAACTCTTTCTTGAAATAGGCAAGCAAGTCGGTCTTTTCCATAATAATGCGGATGTTTTGGAACCGCGCAAAAATATGTGGTTCGAAACACCCATCCCATGAAAAACGCCAGCCATCCTCATACCTTAGGTACCCATAGGGATCCTCACCCACCTCCCTCGCTTAACTGTAAAACGGAAAATACTCCCTAGGACAATGACGCCAAAGAAAATTCCTGTTGTCTATATCCCAGGGTACTTGTAGCAGACGTGTCGGATGATTTATGGAAGCCGGATACATCATATCTACATCCGGCTCAGGATCTATGTCCTCCAAATCCGGAATCTCCACGATGAGAGTCACAGAAATGTAGAAAATTGGGGAGGCCTCATGCCAAATCTGAAGGTTCACTCCTAGAATTCCTAGGCTGAATGTGTCGGCTGTAGAGTGGGGATCCCAGCAGTCTCTTCTAGTATTAAGTCGCAATTCCTTGCGTGGCGCCACGAGATATCCGTAAATTTTGAGACGTATTTCTAGGCAGTATATTAGTGTATTATATCAAGTTAAATCAACGATGAAATTCCATGAGCATGAAATGGAGCAGGTTGGATGGGAGGGTCCTGGGGTAGGTAGCTTGGGATGAGCTTATGACCACTGTTATCTTACATACCTAGAGGCAACACCATAAACCAACACTTCCCACCACCATCCACAGCCGTTCTGTAGAACCTCCATAATCACCGTAGTAGAAGCACACCAAAATCCCGTCGTTGCACAGTGAACTCCCTGGTTATTCAGAGAAGGAGCAAACTCGAGCTAGATAAGATGATGGCGAGTCACGAGATGAGATTATAATAAGCCCTGGTGGTTGTCTCTTCGTGTATCAGTTCCAGTCGAAATTTTGAGGTGGAGTAGAAACTTGCGAACCCGATGATGGTCAGTGACGTTGGAGGGGGCGGGTGGTTGGGAAAAGCATTTACTGTAGCCTACAGTAATCTTACTGTAAGAGAGGTGGGCATTACTCTGTCCACGCTATCAAAAGTCATTATGCCAAAAGCCTAGTACAAGTAAATCAATTGTCCCACTTTACTTAGGTCAATCAGGAGTAAAAGTATTAATTGTTCGAAACTATTTTTTTAGTTGATTTAGTTATATAAGGTCTTTGGTATAATGATTTTAAAACTCAGGTGTGTATAGAGTAATGCCTGCCTCTCTTACCAAAGCGGTGAACATTTACGTACAACAGAAAGATCCTCTCAAACTTCCCATACAAAAAGTGAAATTAGTACAAGAGGGTTCCCAATACTCGTTTGTAATTTTTGTCCATTCTTTTATTTTGTATGTGCAAGACCATAGTCTATCTTACTAGGTGCGCATCATATCGAACACCAAATATCTCTCCCCTCTCTATGTTCATTTTCTTATTGTGTGTGTGTATGTTTGGTCAAGCTCCAATCCCCCTCCTCTCCACCGCGTCTCAATTCCCTATCCAACAGCCAGGATACAAGCTGCGTGGGGGATGGACCCGGGTATAATCAAATCTCCAACTTCCTTGCTATCATCCATCTCGAAAAAGGGGTATCTTGAAAACACAAAAGGAGCTACTCTGCACAACAAAAGAAATCTAGTAATAGGAAATCAAAGCGGTGGTATGTTGTTAGCGAAATCCTACCTTCGCCGTGAACGCAGTCCTCCCAAAAAAAAAGCCAAAATTTCCCACCCATTACCCCAGAAATCAAAAAGCCTGTCGCTGCTAAAGAACAAACGCCACCTCTGTAAATGCTAAATCGATGTGAATTACTCGATATGCCAAAGAACGCCGCCGTTTGTAACCCCCCTGAATGAAACTGATCGCCGAGACCTTCAATTACATAGGAAATGGTATCATTCTGTTGAGTGGTGTGTTGGTCCATCGGTCGATCGCAAAACTAGTCGTACAATTGCCCGCTTTGTGCGTATCATTGAAGTATTGGTGATCCGAAAGAGACTCTAAGTGCCTCCCGCTGGGTGCCATCGATTTCTATGCCGCTATCCCTATCGTCTTTACCCTCGCCGCCCCACGACGCCGCAGCATTTGCAGCTGCTTTCTGCCTCGCTTCTCTCAGCATCCGCGCCCCTATACTGCTCATCCCCTCATTATCGACCTCAACCTCGACCTCTTGCTGCTCAATTTCATCCTGCGTCAACACTCTTCCTCCCAATTCTACATCACCCGGTATTACGCGGTACTCCAAAGCCTTTTTCCCTTCGTCAATCAGCGCCTCGGTCCAGCCTAAACAACGCTTTAAACTCTGGTTCATTCTCTGGCTGTCAGTAAGTAGTTGTTGGTGTTTGCTTAGATCCAGCTGTAATCTCTTTTCATCTTTCTTTCTGTGCCTCAAATCACTTTCGGCCATCGCAGCCGGGCTGAGTGGGCCATCGTCCATAGATTCAGAAGTGTCAGAATAGCCTTCTTCTTCTTCGGGTTCGTCATGGTCAAGGTCTTCATCTTCACTCAAGCCGGAGAGTGACGCGCCGTCTATACTCTCTCCGATTACTGAGAGAGTATCCATCGAGGTTCGTAAGGAAGCCGGGGCAATTGATAAACGCCCGGATCTGCTGAGTCGTCTGAACCGTCGTAGTTCGGCTGTTTGCTTGCGCATCTCTCTCTCCAAAGTTCTGTTGATTGCCTCTAGAGAAGAATTTGTGATTTCAAGATCAAGTACTTTTCTTTCCCGTCGTGCGTTTGCTGCAAGCTCATTCAGCTGTTCCAGCGTCTGTCCAACCTTTATGAGGCTCTGCGAACCCTCTGGACTCTGCAGGCTTTCTGAGTGTTCGGATGTAGCATCATCCACTGAGCTTGTTTCTGGAGTCTCCTCGGGCGTAGAAACAAGGCCGGCCGGAATTATGTGTGCAGGCGTTACTGGCGATGTGACCTCCAGTGGACTAGATACCGAATTCTTCCTGGATGGCGGCCCCGAGCCCAGGCTCGCTGAACGTCCATGACTGACCACCCTTGGGTACTCAAGGCTTCTTCGATTCGCGACCACACTGTTTGCTGATTGACCACGTCCTCCGGCTTGTGGTCGGGGAACTACTGCCGCTTGCAAAGTGGGGGTGCTTCGTTGAGATGGTATATTGGCATGCTGGGGTTTTGCAGGGGGGGCCGTTCTCTGGGGTGGAGAAAAAGTACCGGAACTGAATGTCGTAGCTCTACTCAGCGGCATGCGAGAGTGGTTAGAAACAACAGAAACTGGCCGAGAGGGTGCAAAGCTTGGTGAGGGTGACAGCTGGAGATCTGGAGTGCCGTTTGCGTGGAAGAATTTTGGCTGAGGCTTCTCTTCCCCCACATTTGACCCAACCACAGAACCGCCTGTACTTTGTGCAGGCGGTATGGATTCGCCATTGGCATGGAAGAATTTCGATGATGGCTTATTAGACGGCACGCCCGATCTAGCTGCCTGTGTGGGTTTGGCGTCACTGGCGAAGAAGAATTTCGAATCTGCTGATGCTGCATTGGGGCTCCTTTTGTAACCCCCTACTTCTGATCCGGCTGTGCTGAAAGAGACCGTTGACCGCTTTGGCATATCTTTATCCATTGCGGATATACCAAGCCCAGGTACCTGCATTGTAGCATCTTGAGCAGCTCGAAATGAATCATTCGTGGGTGGAAACCCAGGTGTCCCGGTGGGTGTACCGGTGGGTGTTGTATTGGCACTGCCGCCGTCAACTCGAACTTTCCTTGGTCCAGACCTCGGTGTGATATTGTTGGTGAGATAGGAGGAGAGGGGCGTCGGGAGCTCCTCTTTAGAGGAATCGGGGGTGTGGCTGCGGACAATTGGACGTGGTGTTCGTCGTAAAGAGGATGCTGGTGCTCCTGTGGTAGAAGAAACGGCCACCCGAGGAGTCAACGGAGGGCGATTGGGTGCTTTGGAAGAGGCACTCAGTGTTGGCAAAAGGGGCCTCGAGGCAGGTTTGTTATCACTCGAGATACCGCTCCTGGTCGATAGGCCTCCCTTTTGTGAGCCTCGCATCATGGCATTATTGTCTCGAGACTGTAAAGGCGGGCGATCTGAAGACTTAGGCTGGGGTTGTTTTGGTGACGGTAACGGTCGAGCCGGAGTCGTAGTAACATTGGGGTTCCGTTTTGTTTGGAGGTTTCTCGTTCTCGTGGTTGACGTGGTTGGGTTGTTTTTGGGTGGAGGTGGTTGATGATGATTGCTGCGCGCGTTGAGACCGCCAATTATAACGGCCCGCATTTTGGCTGGTGGTGCTGGTGCTGGTACTGGCGAGCGGCCCTAGTCACACGCCAGCCTTGCCACGGACTTAGACACAGACGCCGACGCACTTTTAAGGAGGTCGTAGGTCGTAGTGGCCGTCGATGGTGAATTCGAACTCCTTCAAGAAGACCGAGCATTACATTAGATACGAAGTATACAACGAGCGAGCTTCAATTTCATGGCGAGGGGGGTTGCATGTATGTATGTGACAACTGCTTTTTTTCCTACCGATCACCTTTGTTTACTTCCATTGCTATCATGACGGCCAATTGCCCAATGGTAAGCTTACGCCCCTCGTTTGATCTATCCCATCCGGGGTATTGCGGCAGTACTCCTTCCTTATTGCTGGTCCTCGCTTGCCGCATGTTTTGATGGTGATTCATGCAGTGTTGGAGGTGGCCAGTGCTGGGAGGCCACGAGGAACGGCGGAGACGAAACTGTCATTCCATTTCGTTGGTCTTGTTTCTGTCCTGTGGCGGGGATGCACGACGCACTCACGAGCAGGCGGGGATGTCGCTGGGAGGCTCTGTGGGAAACTTCTTGCGCCGGCTTTCTTGGTTTTGATGCACTTGTTTTTACGCGGGGCAACCCGAGGGGTTGTGGGGGATGAACTACCGTATACGAAGTAAAAAAGTCCATGGTGTTTTATGCCTTGAAGGCTCTATATTTACATAAATGGAATGTCCGACTGGATGGGAAGTTGTACAAGAAGCACAAAACATATAAATAAACTAAACGAGAAATATAGGAAAGAATAAATACTGCGGGGTTTAGGGGAGGGGGGGATCATCATATTGGTAGGGGATGCTTACAATACCTAGATAGGCAGCGATAGCAACCGGACCTTCTTGGAATCACAACATCACCACAACAAAGATCGTCAATTGTTAATTATAGTTTTCTTCCTTTTTTCCAAAGGGGACGTCGTGTTTGCTTATCTTCAAGAAACACCGGAACCTTGGACCCCTATAGACGAGGAACCTTGCAATAAATTCTGTCCCATTGTTTTGCTACTTGGGTGAGAGGAACGGAGGGGGTTTGAGTAAAGTGAATAAATTGCTTTGTGAGTTAATTACATTAATTTCCTCAGAGCACTAGGGTACCAGATTTTGTGATCATCAACAATGAGGCTATTTACTACCACTGGTTTTGTTTACTGTAAGCTAAGGTCGGATAGTCAGGTAAAAGCTGTCTGAAGCTTGACCTCGAGAGCAAAGAAATGAAACTTTTCTTGAGATAAGAGAGGCGAGCATTTCTCTGTACACGCTATCAGAAGTCATTATGTCACAACTCTGACACAAGTAACTTGATTGTCCTGTTTCACCTAGCACACTAAGAATTGAAAAGTAACCATTGTTCCAAACTATTCGTATAATTGATCTAGTTGTGTGAGGTCTTTAGGATAATATTTTTATAATTCGGATGTATGCACAGCAATGCTCGCCTCTCTTCGCTCATCACATTCGCTCCTTCTACGTAGCCATAAAGATGAACCAATGAGGTTGGTTGGCACATCTTAATCTCACTTAGATCGCTCCTGCCTTGCGAATCTCAAACTCAAAGGCAAACAGTAAACCACGCACACGCCTTACCATAAGTTACCTAGGAAGCACGACTTGAAGACAAATGTTTCAACGTAAACTTTTCAGCGGCTGGTGCAATCGAAGGTCTTGTTTTCCCGTCATAGTATGTCTTCGAGAGCGAGGCAGTACTTGTACCCTTGATGATTTTGGAAGCGTCGATGAGTTACCATAGAATGTTTGAAACAAACTACAAAAGAGCTCTGCAGTAGTGATGAAATGTTTCAGAAAAGCTGACAGTACAGAAGGTATGTCAAAACACGTCATTACCCTATCATCGTTGATGTCTTCTCACCTCTCCTTCAGGACTATCTTGCTCAATGCTAAAATTCCGTGCCCGATTGGATTAGTTAGGTTAGAGATTGTGGCGATGGAAGTATGTCATGATTTGGAGTTCCAACGTGATGAAGCGGGACGTCTCAAGGACGATAGACTGCCAGTCTCAAAGAGAAACGTGATACTTGAGAAATTCGAAGTGACCAAGGAGGATTTGGGGTTTTATGAGTCAATACGGGAGAGATTGCACGAACAATTGGCTCGGAGTGCATGAAGGCTTGAGATTAAGTTGTTCCATCAAAAATATGCTGTTGCTTGCTGCTAAGGCTCTGTTTACTCAGAATATTGTGCCTCAATATCTGGTAGAGACACGCTAATGCGTGTACAAGTACCGTCCTTAATCCACAATTACTCTACAACACCCGAGGATGTATACGCTGTAGCTACAGGCTCTTATACTTTCTATTAGGGGACTAAACCTCTAGGACTTTATAGCACGTCTATATAAGCTAGTACATTTGATTAGGAATTGTCGCTTTAGTCCCTAATTTTAAGAAGAGAAAAAATTGTATTAGAGTCGGACTAGTATAAGGACAGCCTACGAGCAGGAAATAGGGCATATTTAGTACTGTAAAGTGCGTTGTATATACGTGTTATGTCCGCTTTAGGACGATATTAAGGACGAAAACAACCTCGAGAGGTTGTTTTCACTTTTACTACTAAAGCGATATTGCGGGGTAACATTGTGTGGATCAAAAATGTGATCTACGTGTCTGTACGTGGAAGGATTTTAGAAGTGTCGGAGCAGAGCTGAATAGGGGATAGTTGGTGCTAAGCACCCCTAATCAAGACGATATTGAGGTCCAATATTCTGAGTAAACAGAGCCTAAAAAATGATGTGAGATAGTTCTCGGGTCGTTGCACACCCTTACTGTACCACAAATCGTGCTTTTTCTCTGCCACAACATCTTTACTACAATCGCATTGCAACGTGGAAAAACTCAGATTTTGCAGGCCGTCATGGAATCCGTGGCCAAACACGAGAGCCTCACCAATTCCGAGTCTCATTTCCTACGAATGCCACTTGGTATGCCAATTTGACGTTGAGATCATAACATATTTTCATTCTGACGCCGCCTAGAAATGCGAAAGAATATCTACCACTTACTTATCCCCTCCATAATCCCGAAATTCTGTCAAAAATGGTGGCGATGGAACAATCTTCCACAACGGCAGCGGAAACACCTAGCCATTCTCCGTACGAATCGTCAAATCTATCAAGAAGCAACTTCAATCCTTTACAAGGAAAGCAGAATCCTGTTACTCGCCGACGACATCTTCTGTCTACCGTCCTTTCCGAAAACTGATCCTCTGTTTTCTTACAATTCGTTGGACGAGCAAAGAGACCCGAATGCCACGTCTTGGAGATACGATCCACTCCTAGGAACCGGCGACGAGGTTGATGGAAAACAGGTGTATTCACAGCCTGAACTTGGTGGGCTTATTGAGCCTCATGTTCTCGCTCAATTCCAGCATGTAGTTGTTAATATTAGTCTTCTTCTTCGAGGTTCCAATACCACGCAAGTAATTTTCGATGAGGGACAGGAGGGTTATTCTAAAAGTGTTCTCGCAGAGCATACCAGGATTCTTAGAACGGAGCTCTTTAAAAAACTAACTCAGGTGCTTTCTAACTCTCCCGTTTTGAAAACACTTACGATACTTCTTTCTGTCGATGCGGGAACGCCCCGAAAAGACGAGGGCGGGAACTCAACCGATGATGATGATGATACGGATCCGGAACCTGAACCGGATGATGAAGACGAGGAAATGATCGAGTGTCTGCGACAGAAGAGGATTCTGGAGCGCGATAGGGATGTAGATGTTTTAATTCAGAGTGGGGTTCTTTGGCACTTGAAGGGCTTGAGGAGTGTTGTTGAGCTTAGGACCCCTGCTATGGTTGAAGAGTAGAGTGAGGGTTTTAGGAAAGTTGATAATGAGACGGAGAGGGGTTTAGAGGAGTCGTGAAAGGTGGTTGAGATGTAGAGTGATTCAAAAAGGTCGGGTTGATCGAGGGGTGTTGTTTTTTCGGGTCTATCTAAACTACAGTATAGATCTGAATATTATAAGTTCAGGAAAAGGAGAAATAATAGCCTAAAATGAAATATCGAAATGCAACAAAGGGGTTGTACTTAGGAAAAGATGCTGATCTGAACAGTTACCTCGGCTTGAATAGGTAGGCAATGATGAGATAAAAGAGGCTGGACAATTGAAGCTGACTACTGTACTGTCATCTAAATTATATGAGAAAAGTCCATACAGTATCACCCAGTTCTGAGTCTCTGATTCGCTGGGGCCGTAAGAAGGACAAGACAGGGGTTCATTCCAATGTGCCCAACCTCTTTTACAGCGATATTCCTAACTCGCTTTAAAAATATGATTTTTAGGAACACTAAAAAAAAGTATAAACGCGGAATCGTAAGATAACCTCTCCTATATAGTATAATAACCACGCCTCTAGGGCTTTAGCTATACTTAAGGAGTATATGTTAGCAAACTCCTAGTTAGTGTATCTACTTTTAATATACCCTAAGTAGGAAATTATATAATAATTCAAGTAGGGGTAGAAAGGTGGTTTTTGCATTAGTCGTATGCTAAGACCTTACCCCGCTATACTACCTCGCGGTCGTAAGAATCGACTTTTTACCCCTTCTTAGATTATAACAAATAAGCGCTACTAAGTTATATAAAAAGTCGATATAACTACTAGAAGTATATTAATAATTAATCTCCCGAAAGGGATTAAGCCCTAGAAGTATAGTTATATTACAATATAAGGGGGTTATTTTCTTAAGTTCCTGATTTTATACTTTTTTTGGTGTTCCCGAAAATCACGTTTTTAAAGCGAGTTAGGAATATCGCTGTACTGCCATGGCTTTTCATCGGCGGGATGTTGGCGTTTTTTGTTTCAATGTTTGCTTTCGTTTCACCGCTACCATACTGTATACCAACGTCTCCTCAGATGATGACCATGGCTGTTCATGGGGAATGCCGGTTAATGATACTGCCGTTAGGTTAGATTCTAGATCCTTACTTGAGTATTGGATTCATTGACTACCTCCCTGTCGAAGCACAAGCTAAACAGCAGCCAGAAATCCGGATCAAAATCTACGTTTATCTCCTCGCGCCATGCAAATTTATTCGTCTCAACAGAAGGAAGGGACACTTCGATTATTTGTCAGAAAAAGAGATAGGTGGTGCGTCAGTTGAATTCCATCTCTCTATTCGAGCAGTCAACCATCAAATTTACGAGGAGGCATCCTCAGTCTTCTTCTCATCCCTCACTCTTCTCGTCGAGATTTCAGATATCCAGAATTTTCGAATGACTGAGTATGAGGACCCCGAAGATATGATGTATCCTACGAGTTTAGACTACCGTAGCCTTAAACGGGAAGTCTATCCACCAGATGTATCTCCTTCGTGTTTTGTTTGGCGATATAATCCCATGAACTATGTTTCCAGTCCCACTCACTCTGGGAAACCCGGGCATTATCCCTATTCCAACGAGGAGATATTCCAGGATGACGACCGATGGGACGGGAAAATGGAACCGCATTTCTTCGTACAATTCCGGAATATTCTGGTTCATATTGCCTCTGTCCACCTGATGTCGTATTTTAGGAACGAATTCCTAAATTATGAAATGTTGCTCCAACCGTAATCAACTTTAAAGAAACCAGTTGAGGCCAGTCAGCTTTTCGGGATTTCGTCAAGGTTACTTTCTGGTGTAAATGTTTTGAAGACGCTGGAAATTTCTCTTGACGTTGACAGGTTATCTTTCGGGCGGGGGATTGGTACAAAAGGAAAAATGGACCCTATTGGCGATCTTGCGAAGCTAGAACGTCTTCCTTCTGATCTGCTCATACAAAGTAATGGCAATGGATTTCTCTATTCACTGGGCAGATTGGCCAACGTACAACGATTTGAAATTAAGGTTCGCAGTCATGACGAATCTTCGAAGTGCTCTTATCGCAAACTGGGTCGAATCTCGAGTAAGGTTGTGGAGAAGTTGAAAAACGAGGTAAAGCATGGTATTATTGTACTGCAAACGGTCCCGTCGTCTCTGGAACTAACGCTACAATTCCAGCTTGCAGCAAACATCGCCGGTACTCCATTCCTATCAGACTCAGGAATCACTCGGCAGCTTGTAGAAGCAAGAGGGAGGGGCCTTCAATGTTCAAGGATGCAATTGCAGGCTATCAAAGATAAGAATATTACGCCCAGGGCGAAACAAGCCCTCTTGGATATGATTGAGCTCCAGAAGGCGCATCAGGAGAAAATCGATAAGATACAAAGGGAAATTGATCTCGAATCGAGGAGATAAAAAAGAATCGGGCTTATGATTGGGAGTGGACAGATGTATTTGTACGACTTTGGAAAATCGGTTCAAAATTGAAATGTGGTTAAATTATTTTCTACATTTCTATAACTGCACAGCCTTGAAGCAGGTCACCAGAATTCAGCTCATACCAGCAAAGGAAAGCCAAACGTCTGGAGATTTCAATCACTACTTGGAATTGAGGTCAGTATACTCCTTCTGGATGAGAAATGCATTGGACTCACAGCTAGATCACAGGAGGACCCTATTCCTCATCCTAATTGAAGACGGGCTTGAAATCTTTGTTTGGATTTTCGACTACGGGACCACCGAAACCCATGGATTGCGATGAGCGTTTCTTAAGAGGTTTAGAGGGAGGTGCCTTTGCCTTTTCCGTCTGGTTTTGCGGGCTCTCTCCTGCTGGTTCGAGGGACGATGATTGGAGTTGGAGTTGGTTCAGGACCTGGCTGGACGGGGTCTGGTTTTGCAGGCTTCTCTTTGTTTGGGTCGGGTTTCTTTTTCTTGTCAGGGTCCTCTCCGCCTGGAGCCGGTTCCTTCTTCTTGTTGGGATCCTCCCCGTCTGGAGCGGGCTCCTTCTTCTTGTTGGGATCCTCTCCATCTGGAGCAGGTTCCTTCTTCTTGTTGGGAGGATCCTCTCCATCTGGAGCGGGCTTCTTTTTCTTAGCAGGATCTTTGACTGGCTTAGCGGGCGTTCCATCTGGGTTCGGGGGCAATTCTCCGTTTGGTCCTAGAGGGACGATGATTGGAGTTGGCGTTTCTTTTGGAGAAAATTCAACCTGAGCTGGTCTACGTTTTGTGATTGTGGGTGTTGAGCGTTCCTCGACGCTGCGTCCACGGAAGAATTTGAAGGCGTCTGGGTCGGCTTTCTCAAGTTCGGCTAACGAGGGAACTTGCGGGATTGCGACTGCAGATGCAAGGACGAGAAGACTGGCGGCTGGGAGAATGAACTTCATTTTTACGGTTGGAATTTAGAATGTAAGTTGGGGGGTTTGTTTGAAGATATTAAATTGTAATGTGAATAAGATGAAGCCAGTTCAACGAAAAAAAGAAGTGAAAAATATGCAGTTGAAGAATGAGATGACGAAAAATGTCTATGGGCGACCTCAAGACCTTTATGTTGATCGCAAAAGATTGATCCGCCAGATCTTTAGGCGCATTCCACCATAGTAAGACATTATTGAGTTTCAATTCTTATGTCGAAAAGGCTTAGCAAGAAGATCACTGCTACAACGCAAGACATTGGCCAGCAGTTTGACTCCCTATCCGTCTCAACGTTATACGGAAGAGGAGGCTCATGGGCCATTGGCTCGCTCGAAACGCTTTCAATTCTCTAAATCGCCCCATAACGCGTCAACTTTCGGGACTCGGAGTCTTGCCGTCGTTTCTGTAAAAGTATTTCAAACTGCCCTGAAACTCTATTTACTAAGCGAGCCAAGTATTCGCAGATCAAACCAGAGATTTATGGACCTTTACATCAGATCCCGTGACGACTTTATTGGCAGCGATCTTTTGCTGTGGATTCAAAGATTTATGAAGAAGAGTCCATCCGCCAAATGTGGTCTTGTGTAAGCGTCCAGGGAAATGAACGATGTGGGGATCGTTGAAAGTTTCCATTATTCGCAAATAATTGCGTTACTTGTTTGACGCTGTAGTTAGCGTGACTCGTTTATTGCCTTCAATCACAAATCTTCGAGAGGGTCGTCTCATCTAAAAATGGGTGAACTATTGTATTGAATGTTTCTATATATCCGCGAACCAAGACCGGGGAGATTCTTCACGCAACACAACAATCGTCATGCTTCTCCCTTCAAAACATCAGTCCACGTTGTAGCAGCAACGGTTTCTACACATCTCTTCTCCCAACCCTTCTTGACCGGGGTTTTTGCATTAAATACTTCATCGAATCCCTCCAACGTCCGGTGTTTGGTCTCCACGGAAAAAAAAAATATATTGGGTTGAAAGGGTATTGGGTACTGAAGGTCATGGAGAATTGATTGCATTGTAAAAGGTAGCTATGTAAGGTGTTTAAATAAAGAGTGTAAGGTTTAGGCAGACATGAAGCATTTAGGCAGCAGAACTATAAGTGGATCAAATAAGGAAGTGGAGCAAAAGAGAAAGTACACCCAGCACAACAATATATATATGACAACGAATTCAATCAGATCCCATTACACGAACCAAAGTAAAATGATGGTAATAGGTAATCTTCTCAAAAGCGGGACCACTGCCATATTGGATTACAGTAAATTTACTTGCGATACTTGATATAAGCTTCCCAAGAGCGGTACCTTTGGCTCTTGTTTCGGAATTGAGTGACTCGGCTCCTGGCCAACAAGCCAACGAGGGCTTTCTCGGAGAAAGAATACACCATCAGCAATAATCACAGAAGACACTATTTGAGCCCATATCGGAATCCGGAATGCATAAGTGGAATTAATATATGCTGTTCCATAACCCATCTTCTGTCAGCGTGATATTTATTTATTGCTATTTAACGCCAAGCGGAGTCTAGCTCGCGTGGGCTAGGTCCTAGAAGAGTCCCAATATGGGCAAATGACGCTAGGGGGGTGCCCTAGGCTACAGGGGATGTAAAAGAAGAGACGCTAATTTACAAGAGACAGTTTAAAGAGAAGCCCCACTTTCGGGACAGCCCTTATCCTTAATTAGTTTTGAGAACCAGGGTACAACAAATGAAATACATAAATCAAAGAAAGAAAGAAAAGTAGGCCAGCCTATCTAGGTAGACAAATCTTAGTGAAGAATCTAGTCTTAAAGTAGACCTTATTAAATAGCTCCTCGCAGCCGGGGCCGAAGAGCAGCTGAGGGTTCCTCTGAGCTTCTGCTAGTAGCCTAGGGGCTACGTTGTTTGCTAGCCTACAAAAGAGTAGGTGGAATTGAGACTTAGCCTTCTTACACTTACAATCCCCTGAGGTAAGTAATGCGTCGAAGTGAAAGAAGCGAAGGTGGTAAGCGACAAAGTCTCCATGCCCAGAACGAGCAGCTATTAAGCGAGCTAGAACCTCTCTTGGTAATTGAAGAGACCGTGGCTTCAAAGACCAATTTTCAAGCCCCAGATCCTTATAGACAGCCGGGAGTGTAGCGCTCCAGAGCTTCTTTGCAAGTCCAATCCCTGTTTCTTTAACCCCCCTCTTGAGCGTAGCAGTACAAAGTGGAGAGAGGGAATTAGAAGGGGGTATCCGCGCTGCTTTCCCAGCAGCTCTGTCCGCGATTTCATTGCCTAGGATACCTATGTGACTAGGGCACCACCTAGTCTGTATTTTCCCAGGGTATGATGACGCTAACTCATGGACTGTATTAAAGATCCCTTGCGATGTGCCACAAGACCGGTATGTTAGTTGAAGCGCAGCCTCAAGGTTGTCGAGGCAAATCCAGCACTTCCTAGCCGAAGGCCAGTACAGGGAGTTTGAAGCTAGTTCTAGTCCATGGAGAGCAGCCCTAGCCTCTGCATCATATATCTCCAATGCCTTGCCGAAGGAGAAAGCCTTAGTATTAAGAATAACCCCCCCTCTTGTGAGACATACGCCACCTCCAGTACTTTTGTCGTCTAAGCGAGAGCCGTCGGTAAATACTACCAGATCCGTAGGTGGAACATCAGCTAGAAATTCAAGGAATTTGGCTTTAAAGGAATTCTTGTCTCCGCTAGGGTCTGGTCCCCCTACCTCTAGAAGACGGGCTTGTCGGTCAAAACCCCTGCTCCATGGAGGGTCTTGTATAGGGTCAATCTCTTCAGAGGGAGGAAGGATTCTCCGAGCACGGTAAATAAGCCTAGCTTTAGGGCTAGGGTTATTTACACATCGTTTGAGTGGGTGGTCCGGATCTAGCCGTCGGATTCGGGCGTCTAGTGCTTCGCTTCTTACTATAAGAGCAATTTCAGAGGCTAGAAGGCCAGATTCCATGAGCAGTATCGAGGTAAGAGTAGTCTTATACACCGGAAGAATAATCCTAGCACACTTAGCCACTACTCTGTCTAAGAGAGTCAAGTGACGGCCAATTCGGTTGTTTGTAGTTCCTACTTGGCCTGTTTTAACCCTAGACCGCCCAGGGAACCAGGTCTCGCTTCCAAAGTAGGCGATTGACAGAATACAAGCAGTGGTAGCTTGCTTCAGCAAGTGGGATGGAGAGCCTCTTGCTGTGTTTGTTGTCCCTTTTAAAGCGTTCGCTACTAACGTAGTCTTACTTGTCATTCTTTTAACATGGCTGTAGAAGGTAAGACGGGGATCAAAGAAGATACCGAGCCATCGAAGCTCTTGTGTCGGTTCTATTGTCCTGTTTTCTATGACAATAGATGGAGGAGGCCGGATGCCTCTACCTCTTTGCTTTCTCTTACGAGAAAAGTGGATAAGTTCAGACTTTTCAGCATCAAAGGTAATACCCTCGTCTGTTCCCCACTCTAATGCACTAGCTACTTGTTTTGAAAGAGCCTTCATATTCTCTGCTTTCGTAGGTCCAAGAGCAAGTAACCCAAGGTCGTCAGCATATCCGAACCTTTGTAGCGTTGAGAGAGAGCCAACCCCCAAGGTAAAGAGTGGCTGGATGTAGAGCATGAAGAGAATAGGTGAGATAGGCGAGCCTTGGGGTAGACCACATTGAAGGGGCGTAGATGCCCCTATTTCTCCGTCGAGCTTTACTTTTACAGATCTGTTAGTTAAAAAGGAGGTGACCCATGCTACAAAGTTTTGTGGCCATCCTTGCTCTCTGAGTCTCTTGATTAGGCGGCCAGGGAGTACTGCGTCAAAGGCACCCTTGATATCAAGCGTAAGAAGAGAAGCCTCCTGTTTGTCTGCAAGTGCTCTCTCTATGTCGAAAGTCAGGCAAGTGGTAAGATCTGTCGCAGCTCTAAGAGGAAGGGCGCCGAACTGGTTTGGGCCTAGAACAGAGTGCTTAATCGCTATCCAGGGAGCTCTCTTCGCTAGAAGCCTTTCAAGCCCCTTTCCTAGGACCGAGAGCAGAGAGTTTGGTCGGTACGCACGAGGGGATGACTTATCCTTCTTATTAGGCTTCGGGATGATGGCTACAATAGCTGTCCGGAAGATTTCTGGGTGGAACCCTGTCTCTATACACCCCTTGAATAGTGAATACACTAGGTGTGAGATCTGGGGCCAGGCTATCCTAAAGACACCTGTGACAAGTTCATCCTCCCCTGGTGCAGTAGAGGCCTTTCCTAGAACCGACTCTTCAACCTCGCGGAGAGTAAGAGTTGCCCAAGGTAGAGTACGCATAGAGGTAGTAGGGGTATTGATTGGTATATCCCCTACTTCGGCCTTGTTTGTAAGTAATTCTTGTACTAGAATCTTCTGCTTCTCTAGAGTAGTATAACCAAGCTGGCCAGCCGAGTCCTTCAAAGGAGGGGACTTGTATACCCCGATGCTTTGGTGCCATTTGCAAATCTTGAATACATCCTTGCTTTTTGTGGCTTTGTCAATCAGGTTTTTGAAGTGCCCCTCTTTGGCTTTCCGCATCTCTCGTCTCAGGGCTCTCTGAAGACTTTGAATAGTCCCTGAGCTAGCCCCTAGCCTTCGAGCCTTCCTAGCCTCGGTGGCCGCAGACTGACACTCTCTGTTCCACCAGGGATGTCCAAACCCACGCCCTAGGCCCCGCTTAGCGCTGCCAAGATATGCACTATGTACACACTCAATAATAAATCCTGCTAAGGCCTCAAGCGATTCTGTGTCTGGATGTTCTAAAAGCTCGTATAACCATTGTGCTTCTAGCTTTCCCTTTAGGGCTATCTCAAAGGCTTTCACGTCAAGAGTACTAAGTTTTAAAGGAGAGTCCTTCTCAACTAAGCCTCCAACGCATGGCAGGCGAGTAAGAACAGGAAGGTGGTCAGAACCACACTCAAAAGCAAGGTTGACTTCTGAAGCTGTCCCCTTTTGATATAGGCTACTAGAGCAAAAAGCTAGGTCAAGTGTATTGCCTAGGCTATGCGTTTGTGTACCAGGAGGAGTAATGAGTTGTAGCCCTCTGTCCTCTAGCCAATTGACAAGCAGAGAGACCTGGGTATTCTCCTGCCCTGAAAATTCGGGTTGCCAGAGCTGGCTCTTTAAGTTGAGATCTCCAGCTAGAAGAAGGTTCGTTGTAGAGATATGTCGAGAGCTAAGTACTAGACTAATAGCTTCCCTTGCCCCTTTGGTCCCTAATGGGGCATTGTATATGTTGAGTATATAAAGTGGAGGCCCTTGAGAGAGTGGGATTTCGATGTAAACAAGGTCCCGGCACTGAAGAGCAGAGACAGTAGGAGTTCGCTGACTAGCAAGGATTCCTGCTCCTTTCCGTACAAATTTAAGTGCTCTAGGAGGGTCGATATTCCAGTCGCATATAGGAGCGAAGCAGTCGTAGTTTGGGTGACGCCTTGTAATCTGACGGCTGATCTCCCTCCGGTAGATATATGGCTCCTGGATAAGTACTACGTCGACTCGCTTAGAGTGAGCTAGCTGTAGTACCAGCTCCTGGTAGTCGCTAGACTTGTGTACATTGATCTGGAGGACTTGAAGACATTGTGCTTTAGTAAAGTTTCGTGTACTCATAGTGAAATAGGGGGTAAAGTATCCAAGGTTCTTGTTGTAGAGAGGTTGTCATGTGTGGAGGCTATGGAGTTATTAGCTCTCTGCAGAATAACACTTGGCG